TTTCTGCATGGTCTTTCCTTTTGCTGTTTGAGTCTCAGCCTGTTATCTCTGTCAGCTGCTGAATATACATAACGTAACTAGCCACAAGGGTTGCAGCCAAGGCCCCGACGCCCTGCAAGCCGCCTGCGGGCTCCCTTGCGATTCCCCCTCCCCTCCACAAGTTAGTGCTCGCGTTGTTTTTCCTCTTAGACAACTTGTTTTTTCAGAGTTTGCGCATTCCCACTCGTCGGAGGTATGGATAGGGTCCCGAGGCCAAAAACGCTGATCGTCATGAGTCGCACGTTATGAGGTCAGTGAGGGTTATTTTGTGGCGTTGGAGTGGAGGGTCAGTTTCAAGTTTTTCTGGTCTTCAGTGCGCGCCTAGGCTGCGCCAGTCCCCATTTCCCGCCCTGTGCGGTGCAGTCGCCGAGGGGAGGGTCGCTAGCTGGACTGGGCTTGTCGACCATCTTCCTGTCCAATCTGAGCCCCTGGATCTCCTCGGCATCCCGCACGTTTTTTGCCATTGCGCAACAAAATGCGTGTGGAAGCGATTGGACACCACCCATGCCCTTCCTGGACCTCCCCTAAACATCCTTGTGGTGCTTGTGCATCCCTGTGCATCTCCTCCCCTCTCAATCTGCGCTATTCCGGGCGGCGACTATCCTTCAACTGGCGGGGGGAGAGTTCGTGTTGCTGGACTAGGAACTCGTCGCTTATTCTTTCTGCCCTTGTTGCCGGTCCTCCTCTTACATACATGCCTGGGAGGGTTCGTCTACGGTGACTGCTCTTGTTAGAGTCTAACATTGTCCCTCCTCGGCGGCCTGCTCCGCGAGGGAGTAATTTCTCCCTTTCGTCCCTGTCGTGTCCGGTTGGCTCGGCGCTGAGCGGAGCCTGCGGTAATTTTACGGCTGACAGGATCATTTTATGTCTCAGTCACGCTTCGTCTTGAGGGGTCCTTCCTGGGCGCGCCTCTTTTTCCTGGCTTCTTGTTCGGGAGGTGGGCAGGGGGGTGGCCCAGGGGGGAAGTCGAAGCTAGGACGATCCCCTCCCGCCTCTCCCCCCTCTCCTCCCACACAATACGAACACCCTAGCAGTTCTAGTTTGAGACCTCTTACTGTGAATGTTATCATCAGCGAATGTCAATGTTGAACCTCTTCCAGCGTCCGCCCATGACTCCGCAGCGGGGGCATCCGCGGCGCATCGGTGCGAGTCCTGGTTGGACCGTCACTACAGGACTGCTGATGATCTGTCCAACACAATCACTGCAGACGCCACAGATACACTCGGTGCAGGCGAATGCATTTTTCAGTAGCCACGGCCGGCTGCAGGACGCGCAGTAGATCTCCAATACATCCGATTTGCTGCCAAAGGAGGATGATTGTGAGTGCTGGTAAGGATGTGAATGGTGCTGTAGGGGGCTAGTGTTATCGTTGGATGATGCCGATGTAGGGAGGCCGGAACCTGAAATGTGGAAATTCTGACCGGATCCCGCGCTCTCTAAGGACTCGACTGAAGGGAATGGCTCAGGATCATTGGGTCCCAGGACATCTGGTGGCGGTGGAGTCAGGGTGCGCTGCAGCGGAGAGGCATTGTATCGCCCAGCTTGGGGGTGGTGCAGGTGATGACCAAAAGGACGGAAGCCCGGGGGTAGCGATGAACGCTTGTTGACATCCCCACTGGTCGATATGCTGTCCGCGGCGGACAATCTACGAGCGGTCGTGGTAGTGGTGGTGGGCGCGATGCCCGTGCCAGCAGCGGTGGCGGCAGCCGTCGTAGAGGGCGGAAAGTTTGGCGACTGCGGCATCTGTAATTGAATGCCAAGGGCATGTTAGCAAGGTTGATTATCGATAGTCTAACGCGAACAAGACAAGGAAAATGAGGAGGTTGGTGTACACATTAGAGTAATTAAGTGAGGGTGCATAAACTTTTCGGTGACAGGAACCCCCCCTGGCTCTGGCTCGTCTCAGTCGCCTGGCCCGACCGCCACAGAAAAAAAGGATGGTTTCATCACTCGCATGTGGCCTGACCAAGGAAAATAAAAAACCAATGCTGGGTTTTTTATTTCTTCCGCTCACAACCAGAGTCTCTCTCCCGGGCATTTCGTCATCTCCTTCCCATTGAATCGGTCCGTGATTGAAGTTGTGGTCCTTGAGACAGCACTTGTGATCTTTTCGGACCGCCAACTCTTCATAAACCATTGACAGATACAAGGGACGAGTTTCCTCTTGCCCGGGAGTCGTCTTCGGTTGCTCGCATTGGATCCTTTTTTTTGGCCTTTCGTGCGGGTATAGCAAGACATGACAGTCGTTCGTTTCGTTTTGTTGGTTTTGGCAATAGTAGTGACAGTAAAATAGTACAAGACAATATACCCTTTCTTGGGGGGCCTTCCTCCGGGGGGTTTCTCTACAGAATTTCGATCTCTTGGCAGCAGCAAGTAAACAGAGGACAATCGAAAAATGTCGTCTGACTTACGGGAGTGAGATCACGATCATCATCAGCCTCAGTAGCACTCGTGGCAGCCTCGATCAGATCTTCCCATCTCTTGCCTTGAACCCACGCCGCTGTGGGTGGTTCGGCAGACATTGCTTTTCGGCCTTCGACGCTCAGTCGTCGGGAGAAATCCTTGGCCGAAAATTCCCTAGATTTTCCGCGCTCGTGCTTGCCCTTGCGCGCATTTTGACCCATTGACGGTTTTCGGGGTCGCGGAAGTCTCTCGCCACGTCGTTGGATAGGTGGTAATGATGAATATCGACTACCAGGGGACTGTAGAATGGATGGTAATAGTTCGCGTGGCCGGGTAGGCTGGAACGGTGGCAGGGTATCTTCATGAAATTGGGCGCGTAACGAGGGCAGTTCGAGACCCGACGTCTCGCGCTTGTAATCTGAGTCTGGGAAAACATCCTGGTGTGCGAATGAGCAAAGTTCTGCCTATGGCAATGTCTGGTCTTCCAGTGATACTTACAAAATCGGAATCCCAATTGTGGAGTTGAGTGAGGGCAACAGCAGCATTGGCAGCCGCAGGAGGTTGCGCAGTCATGGCCCCTGCTCCGGGTTGTTCAAAAAGTCCACTCGTAACCGCTGCATCTTTCTCAGTATGAGCAAGGGAGGAATTCATAGAACCAACGTACACGAGCCTTTTAGGGCAGGAAGGGTGGAAGTTGGTTGGACATGTGGGCGTTGTGAGGGAGGAGTGCTGATCATCAACTGGAAACTCTCCTCTGTAGCAGGCAACTTGGGAATATAGTGATCTGGATGGGCGCGTCGAATGTGTTCTTGCATCGACCGGTAGCGTTTTTCCTGCAAAAGTCCGGGTCAGCCATTTGGCGACGCGCATAATTGGGCTAGGATGAGCGCACCCCAATGCATCTCTTTCTGCACTGTGAGCCATCTTGGTTTGTGAGCGGACACACAACCTCATTTTCTGCATCCGTCGACACGAGAAAAGAGCTGGTGAGGGCAGGTTTGGGCGGCATTGCCTCTCAGCGCTGACCCTAACCGCAGGAGCGAGTTTTAGGAGAGAAGGACGAAGGTCGGCGGCATTGATCGGACAGTCCACAACAAGCTTGGCTGTTTTTGAGCTTGGAGGGAACCGACGTAATGATGGGTCCCCCTTCACATGATTTGCTCGTCGGGAAGAATAGGGTCAAAGGAGACGCAACACAACAGAGTCAACTGCTGGCCGTTTTGACGAGTGTACAAGGAGACGAGGAGGAGAGAAGGAGAGGATGGCGATTGTGACGAGAGGAGAGGGTTATTTTGGATTGATTGAGAGTTGGTGGGATGGATCAAAGAAAGAAAAAAGAGCTTTGAGCTCGGATTGAGGGGTGAGCCTCCCTAGTTACCCTAAGCTCTGTCGCTTGGGAGGGAAGAGCTTGCCCTGGTCGCTTTAGGGGCTTTAATTGGCAGTGGCAGCTTCCCTTGCTCTCCGGAGGTTCCCCTCTCTATAAGCTCAGCAAGTTGCAGCAATTCCAAGCGCCAACGCCCGTTAACTTTTGGGCATCACCAGCCAAACCGCGCGAAATCCAGCAATGTCAGACAGCATCGACCAGGTTCGCTGGGCAGTCCATGAAGCTCGCCATGCAGTGTCAGACGTCTCTACCTCCTGGGTCCCGGGCTTCCGATGCCCTTACAAACCAGGAACGACAACCGCAGCCTCCAATCAACCCCCACCGCCCTCACACCACTGTGTTGGCTGCCCAGCATGGCTTCTGATCGATGACATTCCATTCTTGCATTCACGTTTCTTCCTACTGGCTCTCCAGCTGTGTAGCTAGTCAGGTACTTGGGCCAATTATAACCTTTCAGAGAGCTCTGGGTCCCCTCTCTTCACCTCACTCGAGATAGCTCTTCTCTGGGGGCTGTCGTCACCTATTTGGGAGCTTGCGATCGATGATCGGTGCTGATGCGACGCAAAAGAGAGCTCCAGCCGCCCGCTAGCATGTGCACTCCGCCAATTGTCACTCGCTGCAAGCTGGCTTGTGGCTACAGGACAAGCTTGAGCTTGGGCCAATCCAACGGTCGGTGGGAAGGAGCTGTCTGTGCCGTCAACTCACAAAGCTATCATGCAGCATGCTGTCACGGCGGGACCTCTCGTTCGCCTGATGCGGTAGTACTGCTGATGCAACAATATGTCGCATCCAAGACCACCAGCTCGGACCTCGCTTCCGGTGGGGAAGAAAAGAGATGGGAATGTTGCAAACAGCCAGGAACCAGGGAAATAGGGTGCACCAACACGGCAGACCTGTCGCCACGGAAAAGAAGTGACAACAATTTCCTTATCGGACCAGCGGGCAAATCGAGGTAAGTGGCTGTCGGGTACCAAGAAATCTCAGAGTAGCACAAAAGTTCGATGACTGAAGACCTTAAAAGTCGTTGACCTACAACAGTAGGCTCGTGGTGTGCTATTCGAAATCTGTCTGATCAACATGAACTTAAAAAAAAATCGTGACCAGGACTTAACGAGCCTTCACCATAGCTCCCTCCAATTTGAATACGGGCCTCCATCTTACGAGCTGAACGGACTAAAACCCCTTCACATACTTGTGCGCATCGGTAATCTCCATGACCTCGAATCGCATTCCTACTTCAACATTCCCTTCATTCCTTGGACAACATAGCATGCCGAAACAGGGTTTGAACTTGATGCCCTCATCCACCCTGCGATAACTGACTAACAGATCCCAAGGCTGGTGGGCATCCTTCTCTGCGGTATCGGGATCGACATTGGGTACCGTGCAGCGAGCACATCTCGCGACCACATCAACGTCAATGGCATGTAAGTTGCCGCCTGTGAGTGTAGTCCAGTACGAAGAGTCGCCGTTGATTCGCACTTTCTTCCATGAGTCTTCGGACCACGGCTCTCCACCTTTGATTATGATGTTTGGGCGAAACCGCTCAATGGTAATTTCGCTTTCGCCTTTCTCCTTCAACCTCGAGTTCAGTTCGGCAAGCGATGATTCAGACGCGATCTGAATAGGGAGGACGTCCGGAAAATTGACGCTTTCTGTACGTCCTAATCGGTCAGGAGAGCCATTGCCGGAGCATATCCTTGGCTCAGGACCCTTCATCACCAGGCGAACTTCTTCTCCGAAAAACTCGTGGAAAAGACCCAATATCTTTGGATCCGTGTACGCATAGGCGTCGGTGATATACTCCCAGATGTCGACCGAAACTTCTTTGGTGTTGTCACTGAGCCACTCCTGACTAGGGTGAATAGGCACCTTGACTTGCTTGGCCGTGTCGTGGCCTATGGTTATCACTAGGCTATCCGAGTCGTGATCAAGTGCGGTATTGATCAATGTCATCTGTGGTTTTGTGCGGATGGTGATGAATTTGTTGCTGCTATCAATGAACTAAACGCCTCCACCATGTATCGTCAGCCATCACCGGTAGGGAAACTGCACCATGCGTTTGGGTGTCATGCATTTCTCGGAGGAAGAGCGGCGTTGCTGGTCGAGAATGAGGACTCACCATCCATCGTCTATCCAGCTCCAATCCCTGCCTGGTCAATCTCGCCGACTTTAGAGAGATTCCTCGGCATGACTTGATGGGATAGATGCGCAGAGCTGTGATCTCCGAAGTTGTGTATGTCATTTTTCTTGGTATCTGATGGGGTTTCTTTTTTCCTTTGGATCAAATTGTTTGAGTGCGCTCAGATGGAAAGTTGTATGGGAGGAAAAAGTTGCGGAGATAGGTGGGAAGGACTTGAATATATCTCTATCTGACGATGTTGGTCACTATTTCCTCATCGAATGTCATTACCGCTCCGAGTGAACAACCGGGGTTTATCCTCTCTCACCTGAAAGATACGAACGTCACAGCTCAACTATAGCAGCGATAGTTACCCCTAAAACGGCAACGCACAATCGGTGTCACATTCCATTTACGGTAATAATGGGCGAATGACTTGTCGCGTCCGCGGAACTACGAGACTATGGCTGACTGGGCATTTCACCTACGGGAAGAAGCGGCATGAATGCTTTCGTCCAATCCGATTCCGCGCTTGTTGGACCAGGCTTAAGAAATTTCAAAATAGGTATGCAGCCTCGACCAATGTGATAGCCTCGTCTTTTGTTTTCATGTTCTACAGGTCGCCAATATGGAGACTGGCATTTCGAAGGCCCCGGAGCCAGGTGCGCCCGAAGGTCCCTCTACCACCAGCATCGAGTCCGAGTCGAAGCCTCCAGCCTCTCACCAAAGTGGAGCAGCGCATGTTCGTGAACAGGAAGGAGGTGATTCAGATGCAAGACGTTCGAATCAGAATGGCGCTACAAGGCGAGATGCCCGAGGTGGTCGAGGAGGTCGTCAGGGCAAGAAGAGAGATATGGGGAGGAAGGAGTGGGCGTAAGTTTTTTCCTTTTCTCTTCAGAATGAACCTACATATAGAGGCAGTCCGCGAGGGGTTTGTTTCGGTCATTTCTCACATTTTCTCGGGAATCTTCAAAGACTGACCTGCTAAGTAAGACCAAAGTAGACAAGCGCCAACGGAACGATGACGAGCAAGCCGCCAAACGCCAACGCATCGACCAAGGCAAGGAGGAACTACCGATTTACGCTACGAAGTTCAGCGAGGAGGTGCTTGCGGCCGAGGAGAGAAGACCTAAAAAGAAGGTTGCTGTCCTTATTGGATACGCTGGAACTGGCTACAAGGGGATGCAACTGTAAGGTTGACGGTGCGACTGTTTCATGCTATAGACTGACTCCCATGGGGTTTAGAGCGCATGACCAGAAAACGATCGAAGGAGACCTCTTCCAAGCCTTCGTTGCGGCCGGCGCCATATCCAAAGCCAACGCTGACGATCCCAAGAAGTCTTCCTTTGTGCGGTGCGCGCGCACCGACAAGGGTGTCCATGCCGCCGGCAACGTGATATCACTGAAGTTGATCATTGAAGACGAAGACATAGTGAAGAAGATCAACGAAAACCTGGTCCCCCAAATTCGGGTCTGGGGGTATGAACGGACCAGTAACAGTTTCAGTGCTTATCAATTGGTCGACTCCCGGATATATGAGTATCTCATCCCTACACACAGCTTCCTACCACCACACCCGAGCAGTTTTCTTGCGAGGAACTGTGAAAAATGGGCAGAGAAGAAGGGTGACGTGGACGGGTACAGAAAGAGACAGGAAGAAGTATTGGGATACTGGGAACAGGTGGACGAGGAGATGATCAAGCCGATTCTGGCGGAATACGACGAAGAGATTCGTGCCATTCTGGAGAAGGCACTGTGGCTGAAAACAGAAGGTGACTACGACGGGGTCAGTGGTGCAGACCTGTCGGTTCCCACGACTACGGAGGTTGAAGGAGACGTTTCTAAACTAGAGTTGCTGCAAGAAGCGGAAGGCAAAGGTGCAGAATCGCAAGGCAAGCTTCCTGTAGACAGCAACAACAACGAAGAAGACACCTCCCCAACAGAAGACCCAACAGATCCATCCAAATTACCGCGGTCGCGTATCCTCGAAGAAGCTACGAAGCGGATCCGGCAGGCCTATATCGCCGCCAAACGAGCCTACCGCATTGCCCCTGAACGACTCGACCGGATCCAAGAGGCACTCAACCTGTTTGTGGGCACACGCAACTTTCACAACTACACCGTTCAGAAGACTTTCAAGGATCCCAGCGCAAAGCGAGTCATCAAATCCTTCCTTGTCAATAGGACGCCCATCCTTATCAACGGAACAGAGTGGCTGAGTATGAAAGTGCACGGGCAGAGTTTTATGATGCACCAGATCCGCAAGATGGTCGGGATGGTCGCGCTCGTCGTGCGTTGTGGATGTGAGCCTAAGCGACTAGTAGAGAGCATGGGACCTGACAGGCTGTCCATCCCCAAAGCGCCTAGCTTGGGCCTTCTGCTCGAACGTCCGGTATTCGAATCATACAACAAGCGTGCCAAAGACTCACTCGCCAAAGAAGCCATCGACTTTGACAAATACAAGGAGGAGATGGACAAGTTTAAGCAGGAACAAATTTACGAGCGCATGTACCGGGACGAGGAGAAGGACAACATCTTTGGCAATTTCTTCAATCACGTCGACAACTTTCCTAGCGAGCCCTTTTTGTTTGTCACCTCAGGCGGCATCGAAGCAACAAGGACGAAACCGTTGGTTGGGGCGATCGAGAAAGACGAGACGAAGGGTGCGGACGCACTGTTGAATAATGGGGATGTCGGTGTCGACGACGAGAACAGCGATGCGGAAAATACTGTCAAGGATAACCATGGTGACGAAGGCTGAAGCTTTTCTCCTCAAAAGCGTGGGTTTTGAGGCCTACAAGGCAACATGGCCATGACTAGAGAGTACCTATTGATAGTGTATCTTGTCAAGCCACTCTTCTCTTGTGCTGCATTGCGCATACTCATGACTGCGGTACAACAGAAAGTATTTGAGCCTTTCGTTATGCTTGGTAGGGGTTGACCGTTGACGAGTGTACCTGGGTACGTAGAGAGATGGTTGAGGCCTTTCTATCAGTAAGTCTGTAAGCATGTCTAACAAAGCACATTACTCTACTTATCATACCGTAGTGAGGACTTCTTTGGTGGTCTTTTAGGCTTGTCGTTCGATAGTCCCTATACCGTGCCATATCACATGCCTAGTTACAGTACTGCGCCGAGTACCTTTCTTCAAATCCCATGGCTTTACCGTGACACGCATTTTCCAGAGCCAGACTGAGAATCTGAGAGCGCTACCGCCATCCGTCCCCCACTCCTGCTCATTGTCTGTCTCTACCCCGTTCACGAAACCCGCACATGACTGCGCAGAACTCGGACTCAAAACTCAAATCCGAACCTCTTGTTCCTCCCGATCCTCCTCCTCGCGATCCCCTTCAGGTATTCGGACGCTCATGCACGCCATCGCACTCGCAGCCGCCGCCGCCGCCGCCGCCGCCGCCGCTCTCGGCTCTCTATCATCTGCGTCCTCGCGGTCGTCCTTATTGGGAACGGTGCTGTGGGAAGCGTTCCAAATCTGTCCGGGCATGCAGACGAGGCTGAATCCCTGCGCGGTCATGACCACGAGTGTAAGTTTGTTCTCTCTGTCTCTCTCTGTCTCTTCGGTGTGAGACAAATGTTAATACGCGTACAGTATGTCTTGCGCGTTCGAGAACCAGGCTACTGTCATGTACCTCCAGAGCTAGCTGGGCAAGGAGGAAGTGGTTACCATGTAATAATAATAATAAGAAGGGCGGCTGGACTTTCTTCTCCTCACTTTTCACTTGTAGCGTCGAGAAAAAAAAACCTAATTGTATCGTTATGCGACCAGCTTAACCCTCAATCTCAAACGTCGTCCTCACCCCCATGGCCGCCAGCTCAACATCCAGATACCTCAAAACTCCAGGCACGTTGACCACGGTCGTGTCATCACCGCCGACAAACTTCCTTCCCGCCCCGTCCTCCCACACGGTAATCTTCGCATCGTCAAACGTCGCGGGCCTCGCACAGGCCCGACACCTCACGATGCCGCTCGGCTCGACCCTGCCGCCTCGCCGCTTGATGGTGAACTGGTTCGGCACCATCATGGTGCTCAAGAAGCTGCCGCAGGCGCGACAGACCCAGGCGCGCTGCTTGTCGCTGCAGTCCATGAGTCGGTCTTGGAGGAGGTACGCGCAGCCGTGCGCGATCAGCGAGTCGCGCTCCATTTCGCCGACGCGGATGCCGCCGCCCTTTGCTCGTCCCTTGATGGGCTGGCCGTGCAGGGCGTTGACGGGCCCCGTCGTGCGCACCTGGAACTTGTCGCTGACCATGTGTCTCAGGCGCTGGTAGTAGACGACGCCGATGTAAATGTCCGCCGCGAACTCTTTGCCCGTGATGCCGCTGTACATGGGCTCGTTGCCGTAAAAGTTGTAGCCGGCCTGCAGGAGCTGCTCGCCGAAGAAGTTACCCGCCGTGTGGTCCTCGTCGAACGAGAAGGGCGTGCAGTCCTGCGCGAGGCCGTGGAGGGCTCCAGATTTGCCGGCCAGGGACTCGACGAACATGCCGATGGTCATTCGAGAGGGAAAGGCGTGCGGGTTGATGATGACGTCGGGTTGGATGCCTGATTCGCTGTAGGGCATGTCCTCGCTGGGCCACAGCATCGAACAGACGCCCTTTTGGCCATGCCTCGACGAGAACTTGTCGCCGATGACGGGCCGTCGCGGAATCCGGTACTTGATACTGATCGCCTGGCAGGGCTGGTCTCCCGTCTCGGCACCAATCAGTCTGATTTGGTCAATGTACGCCTCCTCGGCGTCCTTGTACTTGAAGTACATGGTGTTTCCGTCCAGGTTCTTCAGCTTGCCTTCGGACGGATCGAACATGACACTGTGGTAGGCGAGAACGATCGATCCCTCGCCGACTTTGGTCCCAATGGCGGGCAGGCCGTCGGGATCGAGCGCTTGAACCGCCTCGGGTGAGATATTCGGGTCGCCTTCTGCAAAGCCAAAGAGAGACTTGATCTCGGTCTTTGACCGCGCTGCCCTTGAATCTTCATTGAGCCTGTACACTTTGGTCTTGTAGATGACACCATCGCCGAACCCTCGTTCGTGAGAGGACTTGTTGATTATCATGGCATCGTCCATGTCGTAACCTGTGTATGAGATGACGGCCACGACGGCGTTCATTCCGTTGGGGAAGTTGTCCAGGCCGTACTCGTTGTACAACGGAGGTCTTACGACCGGCGTCTGCCCAGTCTGGAGCAGATACGCTTTGTTGTCTGTTCGACACATCATGTTGGACGAAGGAGTACCCATTGCTTGCTTGCTCATTTGACACTGGTACATGTTTCGAGGCGACTGGTTGAAATCCGAGAAAGGCGTCATGTTCGCAAGGATTGATAGGACGTTGGTCGGCTTGAACTCGATATGAGTTGTCAAACTAGGTATGATGTCCGCGTCCACACAAGCAATGTTCATGTACTGCTGCTCAAACGGACCAATGTAGTCGGGTTTATCTGACGGAATGTACTTGACAGGTCGTAGCATCCGCGACGGATCAGTGAAGAGGTACAAGCCGGGATAGAGACCGCCATTCGAGGTAGGAACATGGCCGATTTCCATTTCATTGGGAATGCTGTGTTGGCCATTCACCTTCCAATGTCGGAGAAGCTGGGAAATTTCCCTCGCCCTCTTTGCAGAGCAGTAACCCAATATACGACCATCGAGTTGGACCGATATACTCTCGCTGACAGTCATTGAAGGCACGGAAGCCAGTCCGAGCTGCACGACCGCTTTCTCAATACCTGAAGTATCAATCCGCTTGATTTGGACTTGACACTGGTGGGCTAGATGGTTCAGAAGACCGCATGGAGCCCCATCTGGAGTGTGAACGGGGCAGAGAAATCCCCAACTCTCCGGCAATAGCTTGCGTACTGTCGTGGTCTTTAGCTGCGCAAAAAAGGCACCTCGATGTATACACCGGAAGTGGCTGATGAACCGATAGAAATTGATCTTCTCGGCCATGATTGTATAGCCTGATACTTGAGACTGATCGAGCCCTGTTTGACTGACCAGATTTCCTGTAGAGAGGAAGTATTCCAGCTTCCCTGCAATGTTTTCGTTTGTCCTCCTGACTATTTTCGGAAGGAAGTCGGCCTCGAATGAGGGATCTGTGAATTTGGCGTCGTTCTTAGCCCGAAGCCATTCTCGAGCCGTAGCACCGATGCCCATCAGCCATTCGTAGATGTTTTCCTTCAAAATCATACCGTACAGGAAGCCTCCGAGCAGAACCTCTTGACTGGAAACAGCGTCGGGATTGTCTAGAGCGCAATCGCCTGCAGCAAGCGCGTACAGCTTTCTGATCATGAACAGAATCAGCTGGAATTTGTCGTTATTTTGAGCGGGAGTAACGTCGACGTTGCCGAGATGTGGTAGGACAATCTTCCTCAGAAACTCCTCGCCCACTTTCTCATCAGACATGGTGATAGGCTGCATCAGAACCGGTCGGAATTTCTCTCCGAGATATGCCAGTGTCTGTGTCCTCGTTTTGAGATTGTATGCTTTGTATGTCCGCAGGAGGAGCTCAGTCCGATCGGCGACAAAGGAGCTGGGTGTTCTGTTAGAGGACGACGCGCCGATGATGCCCTCGGCAATCTCACGGTCGTTTGTGTCCACTAGAGCTTTGAGGATCATGACCACAGGAACCAGATATTCGTTCTTCCTCCACGAAAATCTGAATGTCACATTCCCATCTGTCAGGTAGTGGAGGACATTGGTATGCGAAGTCTGATCTGGCCGTACAGACCGAATCTGGATCGCGAGCTTCGAAAAGGTAGGGCCTCTCGCAGCAAACGCCGGTCTCGAGATGGCCATGGGATAGTTCCTCCTTGTCGCAATCAGCATGCGGATGAGCTTTTCGTTCCCATTGACAATAAAATAGCCGCCCATCTCTTCAGACTCTTCCTTGTGGCGTACCATCTGTGCGGGCGAGAACTTCTCGAGGTGACACCTGTTGGACCGTAACATGATTGGCATCTGTCCAAGATCCCGTATTGATTCCTGCCAGTCGCCATTGTTCAACCTGTACTGTAATCTGGCTCTTAATCTTCCTCTGTAAGTTGTGTGCCGCTCCCGGCATTCGGATGGGTATATGTTGCGGTCTTCAAAGCTGAATTTGTTGCTTGGAGGGAGGGTAGGTTTCTCGAGTATGAGTTCCGTCACTCTCAGGTCAAGCTTATTGCGTTGAATCGCACGGCTCGGGTTTCGCAGATCGCCATCGACAACTGTGTGGATTCCAATGTCTTTGAGCCCAGCATCAATGAGGTTTTCGTCCCATAGAGCATTAAAGGACTCAATATGCGGCTTCACTGCGGCCTGAAGCGCAGGAAAGGCGCTGCGATCTTTCGGCGTGTTTCTGAAGAGCTTATGGCGGCGGACAGTGTCGTACTCTACCGACCATTTGGTGCTGGTCTGTGTCATTGTCGCCGACATCGTGTTAGCTGATCAAATATGACCGCCAAAAAGTCGCTCATGCAGTGTGATCACTCGAAATGTAAGTGACGAAATCAGGTACAACAAGAAAGCACTCTTAACACCAGCGCTGCCCGCCCACGAAGACTGAGCGGAAATTCGAGTTTCGAGATGGTGCAGTTAAAAAAAGTTCTTTGCGCAGTCTCCCCAACCCTTATCGATAGCAGAGCCTCGCCAAAAAAAACTCTAACCTTATTGGGACTAGTCAGGGACTCTGTATGGGTGCAACGAGGCTGAGTTTATTGCTCTTTTTGGACTTATTATCATCTCTACTCGGGTACAGCCAAGTGTTCAGAAGGAAAACCCAAACTACCTGAAAACTCATGTCCCAGTGGTATAACTGCTTTTAACTTACTACTTATTCAGTAAAAGAAACTAGAGAAACTAAAATACCTTGGAAAGTGTCCCGCCAATTAGCCAGACCCATTGTGCTCCCAAAATTCACCGTCGTAACCCTTTGGCGCTTCAATTTCCTCGCCAACCAAAGACCATCATCAAATCTATACTCTTTACAACTCTCATGCACCGGTCAAATACTTGACCAGTTGCTCCCGTTCGCTCGTTGGCACGAGGCTCAGCACTTCACGGACCCCCTTCAGTCCACCTTCTTTGTTACCCATCAACAACTCTGCGACCCGCTTGCTGACCGCTTCAGTCTTGACGGCATCAATCTTCGCATAGACCTCTTTCCGGTGGCTCTCATACCACTCAGCCACCTTGCGGTCATCCTTCTCGAACTCGGCATCCAGCAGACCAGACCAATTCTTCAACGTGGCGAGGTTCTGCTCTCTTTGTGTCATACCATTGGTAGTGGTGACAGGTGCGGTGCCTGCAGCCAGGCTGGTGTTGAGCTTCTTGAGAAGAACCTCCTCAGACAATCTTCTTCGAAGACGCCAGTAGAAGAATTTTCTGGCATTCTTCCATTCCAAAGGCATCCGGATCGTTCCCTTGGCCAGCATGCGACCTGCCCGATCGTGCAAATCGGCGAATTGAAGGGCAATCTGTTGGTAGATAGGTCCAAGTAGTTGTTCACGTTCAGTCATCTTAGCTTTGATGGCGTTGAGTTGTTCGGCACTCAAGTTTTTGGCGAGTGACTGAGCCTTCAGCCCAGCATACGTGGGATCCAGACGGGCCATGGTCTCCAGCTGTCTTTCTTTTCGGTACTTGATGCCAACAATACCCTCAGGCTCCAAGACACCACCACGCGACTCGACGTCGGCATACATCTCCATCTGTTCAGGGTTGATAGTAGGATCAACAACAACCTGGAAAACATATTAGCATCTGGGTGCGTGAGAAGCTGGTGATGTAAACTTACCCATGATCCACCACGAAGCTCACCGAAGGGAGGAATGTAGACAAAGACTGGCTGCTCATATTTGACAAGAGCATCGACAATGTACGAACCATATTTGAGGACCTCGTTGTACATGTCTCGTTGACCTCCGGAGAAACCGCGCCAGTTGGCAAGGATCATACATGGCAGTTGCTCGCCATAGTTGAAGTCTTTCAAGGCTTGGGCAGTCTTGAAGGCGGAGTTGGGGAACCACACACCACCAGCCTCTTGCACAATTTGCTCCATTGAGTCAGCATTGGCAGGATCAGCAGGTGTGACGTTCTCGACAGTGCGCGTCTCAACCGCGATGACACCCATTGGGATGCCACCAAGGCGAGCGCGACCAACGACGACAGTTCTGGCCCAGCCACCGAGAGCTTCTTGGAAGGAGTCCTTGTCGAAGAGACCAGACAAGAAACCTTCTTCATCGTCCTTGCCAGCAATAAGGTGTCTCACATCGTAAGGCCCTCTTGGTGGATAGAATGTGATATCACGATCCCAAGGATCTGAAGGTGGGCTCACTGGGACCGGTTGTCCTTTCTTGTCGGGGATGAAGGACAGCCACTCTACGATCTTTTCAACACCCTGGAAATCGTCGCTGGCAGTCATGTGAGAGACACCGTTCTTGTACATGATTTGGGTGCCGCCCAGCTGCAAGTTGGAGGTGTAGACTTCTTTACCAAGCACCTTGTTCAAAGCAGGCGCACCAGTGAGGATAATCGGTTGACCTTCGATCTGGATGGCACGCTGTCCAAGACGGACAAGGTAAGCACCAATACCGACGGATCGGCAGGTGACGAGAGTCAAGGTGAAAATGTCCTCATAAGCTCTGGATGTAGCACCAGCAATGAGACCGGAGCCCCGCAAGCATTCCACGCCCAGTCCGTCCTTAGCGCCAACAATGGTCGTGATCTTGTGTCGCTCCTCGCCGTCCTCGACGACCTTTTCAGTGATGATGTCCGTCTTGCTCAGCAACTCTCTCTTCTCGGGAGTCAAATAGAGATACTTGAAGCCTGAGCTCGGGTTTGACTCGTCATTCCACGCAACAGAGAAGTGAGGAATAAGCTCCTCGGCCATACCAATGCGAGCACCAGAGTTGGCAGAAAGATAAATGCGAGGAATGCCGAGTTTTCGAGCATACTCCGTGCATTTGTTGAAGAATCTGTCCTCAATGGGGCCGAAAGAGCCGATCTGGTAGGTGATATCATTGGCAATGATGATGAATCGTCTCCCTCTAGGATATTCTGGAGTTTTGGCTGTCAAAATCCAGGCGACCATACCGCAGCTGTTGGTTCCCGGCTCACGAGACACCTCAGTGACGTTGTCCGCGTCGTCGATGATCAGCTCGTTATACTCAAGACAGGTTGCCATTTCTGGCTTCGACTCGGCAAGCGGGGCATGTTTCGCCACGGCTTTGTTCCAGCTGTTGTAGATGGCCTGTCTGAAGAGCTCAGGGAAATCGTACACATACTGAGTGCCCATGATGTGGGCCTTGTATCGCTTGGGCTGCAACCATTCCTTAGTTGGGTAAGGGGTAGAGACAGGACGGAGATGCATTGAACCAATCTTAGTAGTGCCACCAATGCTCTCAAACACCCATTCGCCATTGCGTGCCTTCTTTTCGACATATGTCTCGACTTTGACAACATATCCGGACGTGTTGGTGATGATGACCCGCAGAGGATATGGCAATCCACTCTCGGGGTCAGTGCAAAGGATTCTGATCTCAGCACCAGTTACCCGAAGGCGGAGGAACCTTCGAGAGAAACGCTCCAAGAAACCAGCAACTTGCTCTTCCACATCTCCGGGTTGCAAATTGAACACAGGAGTGAAGTTGATAAAGATGTGGTTCAAGTCAGAGTTGTTGTTGCCGATGATCTCGAGAGCGTCACAGATGTCGTTGACCAATCGATCAGTCTCGGAGATGAGGTATTCGGCAGTAGGAATCTCGTCCTTCAAACGGCCCGGTCTGACCACGGCACGAGTGAAGTAGCGCTTATCAACGACCTTGTCCCTGTCATCGCCCTTGCCGATAGCCTCGTAAATATGAATATTTCTATTTTCTGTGAAGACTGGCTTGATCTTGAACTTCGACAATCTACCAAGTTCAAGCTGGAAGGCAAGGGCAGGTTCATTGTGACGAATGCTGACGTCCTCATCGTATGTAGGACCACGGAATGTGAAATATCCAGGATAGGTGCCTTCTTTGTGACCACAGATAAATGTAAGACGACGAACCCGACGGGCCAACAGTTCTGACTTGTACTCGTTGATCAAGCTGTGCGCACGTTCCAGAATCTCTTCGTCGCTCAGATTTTCAATGTCGCGAATGGCGATGTTGCAGACATTTGTCAGCTCATCTTCTAGGCTCTCCGCCTTTGGTGGCCTTCTCTGGCTTTCGAGGGTTGGCATTAGATGCGTGGCGCTCGGACGCTTTTCTGGACCTCCCTTGGGGAATGCCTCAAGAGCGCGAGCAAGACATTCATCGACTTCCTCGAGGTAGTGGCAAGGAGCTATGACACCCTTGCGGGAAGGCTCATCGTCTCCCTGAAGCTTGTTGAGGTATGACAGGTCGCTAACGGATGCGATGCGCTTGAATTGATTGCCATTCTGTGAAGGAGTTGCTTGTCCAGATGGGTAGGATGATGCGAGAGGCAGCCCAAATTCTGACTGTCCAACTTTGCGGAGGACAAAGTCCCACGAGAGAAAGAATGGCGGCTCAACGTCATTGTGATACTCAACCTGCTTGACAGTGTAGGCACGGTAGGCGCGTCGCACGTAAACTTCAAGAGCAGCGAGACTGACCCATGGGTCGTGATGAGCGAAGAAAAGGGGCAACACGTCGAAGACAGTGTAGCGAGAATCTACCACTTCTCTCAACACGTCTAGATCCGGCTCCCGATGCTCCCAGCCAGTCTCTCCGTATTTGGATTCAACCACTGAAGATTTGAGGATGTGCTCCATCTGAGAAGCTCTCTCTTCAAGAGAAGGTAGTGCGCACAAAATGAGAAGCTCACGGGCCTTGAGTGCAACCTTGGCTGTTGCCCGCGATTCGAGTTCTGTGAGTCGGCGCAGGGCTGGTCTGAAGTACTTGCCAACGTTACCAACATTCGGTTGGTTCGGTCTGTACATGTCCAGAATGGCGACAATCAGGTTGTTTTTGGCCGAAACACGGGTGTGGGACAACACAGTCCAAACAACCGAGAGTAGGTCATCTTTATGCTGCTCGCGAAGCTTCAAGATCACGTCTTCATCCCTGGCAGTGCCAGAGGCGAAGAGTTTCTCGACTTGGTAGTACTGGTCTAGGAGGCCGATGAACACATTGTACTCATGTGTCTTCAAGCCATCAGCGTACCCGGCGCAAACATCTTCCAGTGGCTGTAGAGTGGCGTGAAGGGCAGCCCCGTCGCTTGCGGACATGTTGTCCTCAATATATCGGTTAATTGCCTTCTGAAGTTGCTTCGCTGGAAATTCTGCCTGGCGCGAATGTGCACGCTCAACAAGTTGCTCAAGTTGAGTGTCCAGCTTCTGCGGAGTTCTCGAGTGCAGGGCTGACGATCGAGCAGCCCATTCACCGTACGGCAGCTCTGGGTCCCTCAAGACTTGTACCAACTCCTTGAGAGTTGAGGCCATAATAACCTGGTTGTCGAAGCCCATGAGGATATTTTGAAGAATACCGTGGAGCAGAGCGAATCGTTGCGGGGGCTTGTTACCCACGACCTGAGGGGGTCCAAGATTTGGCAGCTGGCCAGTGAATGTCTCAGCGGTTTTGACCCTGGACGGATCATCCAAAGCCAATATACCCAGAATATCACCACCTTCCAGGGTGGCACCTGGTTGCTTGATGAATTGCACAACACCATCCTCCTGAGCAATCAGAGGCATATACATCTTCATGACTTCGACTTCGGCATATGCCTGGCCAGCCCTGACATGTGCACCATTCTCGACGGTGAATTTGACTAGCTTTCCAGGTGACGGGGTTCGGAGCTGAGTGGGATCGTTCTCTTGTTCCAGCAAACACGTCTTGCTGTCAACGCTGAGACGGATGGCGGTAGGTTCTTCCTTCCAGTACAAACTGTGAGATCGGCCCGCGACAAGCATCAATAGGCCTCCATCTGCAAGAGATCGGATGCCAACAGAGCATTTTGACCCGTTGATGAAAACGTGGTAGCTATCTAGACTGGATCTTGTGACGGTGAATTTGTACCGATGTCCCTCGTAGATAAAATCGACTGGGAAGACAGTTTTAAGGACGTCTTTAGCGGGCACTTGACCCTTCTCGAGACCTTTGCGGAACTCAGCAATGCATGCTTCGCTGGCAATGTGGGCTTTGGTCACGGCACCAGCAAGCACGGCCAGCATTTGATCGGGCCGCTCGGCCGTCAACTTGTTGGAGATGAGTTGATCGAGCCATCCAGTGGTGATAGTGTTGTCCTCAAAAGCTGGAGTTTCCAACAACTTGATCAGGTATTCGATCGTGGTCCTGAAGTCTCCACGAATACTCAACTCCTTCAAGGCGACAACCATGTGTTTTCGAGAAGCAGATCGATTTTCGCCATAAGCGAAAATATGACCAAACTGGCTGTCAGAGAAACTGTGAATGCTAGAATTCGAGGAGACTGAGAAATAACCCCACACGTTCGAGCTTGAACGGAAGTTGAGGTCGTGCATCGTACCACTCGAGGGCTTGAATCCTTCACCCGGATCTTCTGAAGTAATACGGCAGGCCGTGCAGTGACCCTTGGGACGAGGCCGGCGTTGAGTCTTCAGACTGGCTTCGTTCTTGAAATGGAAGTCAATTTCGGTTGTTGTGTGAGGGTCGACTCCGTACAACAAGCGAATGTCACGGATGCGGTGAAGCGGTAGACCCATGGCAACCTGAAGTTGAGCAGCTGGCAAATTGACACCGCTGACCATTTCAGTGGTGGGATGTTCGACTTGAAGACGGGGATTCAGCTCCAGGAAGTAGAATTTGTCGTCTGAGTGGGAATAAAGGTATTCCACCGTGCCGGCAGAGACGTAGCCGACCAGCTCACCGAGACGGACGGCAGCAGCCTCCATATTGCGGAAGGTATCTTGGCTGGCAATGGTGACGGGAGCCTCTTCAATAATTTTCTGGTGTCTTCGTTGAACCGAGCAATCTCTGCCGAAGATTGAGATGTTGTTGCCATACTGATCAGCAAGGAGCTGCACTTCCAAGTGTCGAGCATTCCCTGCCAGCTTCATAATAAAGATGGGAGACCCAGGGATTTCATTTGCGGCGGCGTTGTACAGTTCGACGAAATTTGACTCGTCGTCGACCTTTCTGATACCTTTGCCACCACCACCTTCGGACGCTTTGACCATGACAGGGAAGCCGATCTTCTTTGCGGCCGCCAGGCCTTCTTCTGCGGAGTTTACACAGCCTTTTGCGTAGACATCATCTTTTACGGTCACGATGCCATCTCTGTCGATTTCTACCTCATCAACACCCTCTCCTGACCATGGGATACAGGGCACCTTGGCGTGCTGCGCGACAATTGTAGAAGAGATTTTGTCACCCAACGATCGCATTGCTGATCCCGGAGGACCAATGAACACGATTTTCTTGGGAGATGCTGCCAGAGATTCTGGCAATTTGGGGTTTTCTGAGGCGTGACCCCAGCCAGCCCAGACCGCGTGGACGTTCATCCGCTCGGCAATATCAACGATCAATTCGACGTTGGCATAGTTGTTGTTATTTGTGCCTCCGGGCACCTGTTATGGTATGAATCAGCGCTGTTCTTCTTGTGTTTGTTTCCGGTTCTCTTGTAGTTCACGCACCTCGACGTATTGGTCCGCCATGCGAATATAGTCTGCGTTTGCCTGCAGATCTTCGGGCGTGGCCATCACAGTGAACTGGATGGCCCGCTCGTCGCCGAACACCTCGTAGGCCCATTTCCGTACTGAGCGGATTTCCTTGACTGCTGCAATACCGTTGTTTGCAATGAGCACCTAGAAGCAATGTTAGACTGCGGTTGCGCACAGATACCCGTCTTTCTTCTCCTCGAGAAATCCTACTTACTGAGGTAATGACAGTGTGGCCGTCGTGCTCCTGAACAAAGTCCTTCACTTTGCTCGGCGGAGCATTTTCTAGTCTGTTGCCTCCAACGAAATGAGAGGCCACATTGTGTTTTGCCTGCCATGAGCTGGGCGTCCCGTTGGTAAGGGGTTTGGTGCCATTGACACCGTTGACGGCGGGAGCCATGATGGTGAAAAAGGGAAGCCTATCTCATGCAATTGAGGTAGCGCTTGCAGGAAAATCGATCGTAGTCGAGAGGGGAGGTGAAGAGGCGGCCGTGTTATGGTTCTGCGGACTGGGAAAAAGGAGACCGGGATTACGCCAATATTACCGATGTCCCAAAATGGATTGCCCAAAGTCTATACTGCTGCAGGTGAAGGTAAGGAGTGAACAGGTCGGAGGTTGAGAAGGCTACAAAGGTTTTGTAGAAGAGGAGGAGGAGGAAGGAGAGAAGAAATAGAAGTCAGCAACGGGTGAAGGGGGAGGGAAACCGTAGTGCAGTGTGTGTGAGAAACTACACGAAGGCGCAGGGTATATTAGAGTAACGACGTTGCTGAGACGTGTCCCTGACGCTGTTTTGGGCCTGTTGGATGAAGCGGGCGCTGCACAACGGGGTTTAGTTGGATCTCTAGGCGGGCCGCAGCCAAACAGCAACTTAAGCTCCTCTACCTCGAGGGACCCTGTTTTGCTCTGAGCATCACTGTTGGGAGTCGTCAAGCAACCACAGATGAATCGCCGAGCAGGGCCAACCGGAAATCTCTGGGGGGTGATTGGATGCAGGGGCTACTTGGGCTCGCCACTACCGTCGATCTATTCGCTCAGGCGCCCCCGGCAGGCCTGTTCGGCGGCCCACCCCAGCTCTTCCCGCTTAAGTGGCCCGCCCAGTCAAATCCGAAGCCCACTTCTCATCCCCATCCCCCCAACTCCAACAATTTTTTTTCCCGGTGCTGCCTCTACTAGAAATCTCTTTGATGCTCTTTGTTGAGGCCCGGGAAACATGACGTCGGAATGTTGCCATCACTAAAACCATCCCCTGGCAAATACCCCGAGGTCACTCGCCGTAGTCCTAATGTATCTCGTGCCCCAAAGATCCCTCCGGGCGGATGGAAACCTAGAGGCCAACATAGTGTCCAACAAAAAAATTTCCCTGGCTGCCGTAGCCCAGAAAGGGGGCAGGCACATCGACATTATGGTCCCAAGTCGCACAGATGGGTCTTTGTCGTATATCGTATCTAAATCTGTCTCTACCTCAATAACTGAGTGGTCTTGTGGCGACTATCGTGCCGCTTGTGTATCTTTCTCTTATCATTTCTCAGCCTCAGCTGGAGTCCACGATGACTGAATAACCATGGCACCGACGTACCAAGCAAGACATCCAGGGGGCGGCCCTAATCTCGAGATCCAATGGTTCCCTGGCCGCATCAATGGCGGAGTCCGCCCCTGTCAACCACACAATTTCGGAGTCCGTTTTTGGTGCATTCTTCGCCCCTTCCACGAACCCACCGAAGCCCGAATCTGATTCGCCCTCACCCTGTATACACTGCTCCTACTCCTTCCGCTTCTCTCGTGGCAGACACGCGGGTGCATGGGGGGTTAGAGGCCAAGGCGACCATGTACCGGTCGGAGAGCGAAAAGTGACTTGGGAGGAGCAACATCGCCGAGAAAAGACCACTTCACTGTTGGTGCTAAGTACGTCGAGATGGAAGCTGATGGCAAACAAAGTCGCGATAGATCTCAGTGCTGCAAATTGGCCCCCCTCGACCTGGCATGCAGCATCAATTATTGCATGGTGAAAGGGTGTAGGGTGCCGTGGTGCGAAAATCAGATTGGGATCTAAATTTGGTGTTGGGCCCCCAGCAGAATTGCAGCCCTGGTGACACTTTCCCATCTGCGGCATCGCCTTGGATCCAGTCCGGCTAGCGCAAGATCAATCTGGGCGAGTTGTGGAGTCGATCGAACGGTGAAATTTCATCATGAATCGTCTTTTCTATCGCCCATCGACATGATTGAAGAAAAGGGGGCGACGATCTCATCCTCGTGATGGTTCGTGATGCAGCCTCCTCCTATCTTGGGGAGGGAAAATTCGATACAAACCGCACCCATGGCAAATGGCTAATTTCAGGGGGCATTTTAGTGGAAGAGAAAACACGAACTCCCCCCTGATAGCCGATATGTACCCGAAATCGGAGGGCGAAAACAACAGGACAGTGAGGCTGGCTGACGTCAAGCGACAACTTCATTGACAGTCAGGGACATCCCAGCTGTGCCGCTCAAAAGGACTTGGTGCTATAAGATGCAAATCACAATTTGCACCTACGTTGAGATCGAATTCCAGGAGGTGATAAAGGATTGAGCCACGAAACGCCACCAAAAAATAGGGGGTGTTTCTGCAAGGACATCTACAGAAATAATTGTTTAGTTGGCTTCTGCGTGGAGGTCCGTCAACGTTTGGGTTTGCCTGTTTCCAGAGACCACTATTCATTGGGAGATCGCGTCCAATATCTCGAAATCTGGGGCGTCTGTTGTTGTCCGCCGAAAGTCATGGTGCAGACGAGTTCTGCGGTCATGTGACCCAACAAATGAGCCCCCACGAGGCTGAGTTAGATTCAGGGGCTGACAAAGAGTACAACTCCGAAATCAGCAGAATGAGTTAATACGTAACCACCACCAATGCCTGATTTCAGAGGTGACTTATGAGTATACCGGAGTACTCTTGCAATCAGTAAGTCAGTGTGCCCCAGAAACAGAAATCTGAACCACTCGCACCCAATCTTCAAAGTGGGTTGGTGCAGCTCTCCCAATCACTGTCGCCCTCAAACATGGGCAGTATACCCTGAGTTGTCTCCCAATGCAGGAGATACTGGGCATAGCGGTGAGATGGAGATGGAAAAAGTCCATATGGGATATCTGCAGACATTGGATGCAGGCTGCCCAAGTGCTAGCTACTTCGCCTTCAAACGATCTGCATATCAGTCAATAGCCCGGTGCATCGACTATCTTGTGAAGTTTGAGAGTAAGGATGAATAAGCTATGCCAACTCGTGCACAATGTTGTCAGAGGTGGACGATTGCCGCACATCGAGTGCTTCACTTCTATATGGGCGGAGAGCGAGACGAACACATGGTGAGATTGTACCGACTGGTATAGAAGACCACACATCGACATCACTATCATGTTGTGAACGGAGAGCGAGCACATCGCAAACACAATCTGGGGCGATATCAGCAGAGGACGAGACAGTCGAGATTTACTCAACGATCAAACTGACGAACGCCACTGCGAAGTCTTGCCAATGAGCATCTGGATGGCGGACGGACACGAGGTGTCGACGAGCCAACAGCTGGCGGACGACCACACCAACGTGTCCATGACGATCTGAGCGGATGCTGACCACTCACCTTGTCTAGTACGATGGCATTGGGGGACGAATCCCTCTTATCAGTTATCCATGATGGTGAGGAAGACGGACGAACGATATTGATCAAACTACTTCCGTCGCTCGCTCACCAGGGGACGACCGTGCTAACGTCGTCTCAACCGATACGAGAGAAGGGCGAACTCGTCACACCAGCGTCCCGTGACGATGACGTTGGAGGACGATTTGTAGTGTATCAGAGCAACTCAGTCGCTGGAGGACGAACGTATGAACAGCCTCCCAAGCGATGTCAGCGGAGGACGAATCCACTATATCGAGATTGAATGCATGTCCTCAGCGGTCGTCTGTCAGTAGAACTAGGGCATGTATCGATGGATTCATGAACGGCCGCTCTGACCAGACATGATACTCCCGTCTGATTGCACTGCCCGATCTGTCCTGAATGGCGTTGCGATAGCTGCACAGGACGATAGAACGGGTCGTCGACACGATTCACAAACGAACGAGAAAATCGGGACACGCGATGCACTCAGCGCACGACAGACAGGCACATAGAAAAACTTGTTTCAATCTTGCTTTGTTTGCTTTTCAAAACAAGAAAGGAAAAAAACCACCGTTGCACACGTTGAGGCACCTGCCTCCTCTCATGCCTTGTTTCGTTTCCGCCCCCTCCCTCCTCCCTTCCTCCGCCCTTCCTCCGCCCTCCCTCCACCCTCTGTTCACCTTCGTTTCCTCCTCCCCCTCCCCCTCCCCCCTCTCCCCCAGCCGCTCCCTACTCGTCCTCCCAGACCACCATGCCCGGCTCGATGGTCGTCAAGGCGGTCAGAAAATGGACGCGAACGTCCTTTTTCTGACCTGGTCGCCATGACCGACCGATTGCCTGGGCCATGGTGGCCTTCCGCTCCTCCTCGCCCGCCACAAAGGGCGCCAGAAAGATGACATGGTTGGCGACCTGGAGGTTCCAACCGGCAGCGTCAGGGCTGTCGACCTTGAGAACAAGGACGCCAGGCTCCTTCCCCTGCCGGAAGTTCTCCACAGCCGCCCGCGCCGAAGCACCCTGGTAGCCGTCGTAGCAGACAATGTCTGCTGCGCGGCACGCCTCGACGAAAGCGCGTTTCATGCCCTCGAACTGGGCAAACACCAGGACCGAGTCCCCTTCCTGGGTGGCCGTCTTAGCGATGGCCACGGCGAGCCGCATTCTGGCCCCGGTCACTGAGCCGGGGGCCCCTGAGGTCGTGCGGAGTTCGAAAAGGTTGACTGGAATGATGTCTCCAGCCGCCCGGAACTCGCAGCACTCCTTCGAGAGACACAGTTCGCACAGGAGGTGGCCGCATTGGGTTGCGACCGAGAGCCCTGCCTTGTGTAACGGCGTGTTGCCGCATGTCGAACATTCGCCCGAAGGCGAAGTGCCCTCGAAGGAGTCCACCACGACACCCATAAAACGCAGTCGACGAAGGCCTCGCAGGAGAACCTCTAGGTGGGTCTCCACCATGGCCATCCGCAAGTCGACTTCCTTCGTGCCGACGGCGGCTTTTTTGACCTCATCCAGCGTGAATGAGGTCTGGCCACCGCCGGACCTTGAAAGAAGACGACCGGGCGCCAGAGGGTTCTCCTGCGAGTAGTCGAGGAGGAGCTTCACAATCTCGACGGCCACGGTGTCGGCCAAGTTGCCATTGGCGGCGTTCTGCATGAAACTGGCAAAACTTGCTGCCGCCGATTCTTCCACCGTGTCCTTGAGAAAGGAGAGTTCTCGCAGGACTTGCAAGAGTCGTTGAGATCTGTGCAGAACGAACCGTCTTTGTTCGTTGAC